TTGGTCCGTCTCCGAGTGCCGAGTGCCTTTGTTCAACCAGCTGATTCAACTCCTTCTCGCTTAAATTAGCCAATCTTTCAGGTGGAGGCCTGTCAAAAATTTCGAAGCTCACATGAATAATATTCTTCATATCCGTAAAAATAATTAAAAATTTCCATATTTTAGGAGAAAAAGAAAGGAATTGTCTTTTAATAAGTGTCAACATCGATGAAAAAATTGCCGAGAAAAAGTACAAATAAACAAACTGACGTGAGCGTGCAACCCACGAGCAAATAGATCGAGCATATTAGCCAATCAGAACTTGCGCTTCGCTAAGGCTATGTTATATATGTGTGTGTGGTGACAATGGAGGAAAGTAGATATGTTATTACAGTGCCAAATTCCCCGGATTTGGATAGAGCACTAACAGTAAACGGACAGAAACATCCAAATGCAAATAAACTGTCATGCAACCACGACGTCAGCAACAACTGAAGGCAATTTTCATCAATATAATAAAAACAGCTGGCGGCATGTTGTGACATTAAAATATAATCATTGATTTACAACTTTATCTTTTGCACTCTTACTTATCTACATAAACGATTACATATGTACGGTTATTCGAAAGTACAATATTGAACGACATAAACCTCTAGAGGCAATAAAATATAAATATATATTGATTACCATTATCTATTATCACAAGTGGACCAAACCATCTTCACCTAATAACGTACTCAGTGGTATTACTGAAAAGGACACTTGTTATAAACAAAACGCAGCCAATAGTATTTCGGCAAGTCGGTTTGACTTACGTAAGCTAAACAAATAAAGGAAAGTCTAAGCAAATTATTTTTCCCACTCTAAAAACTTGCATATTGAAACTCTGTGTTCTACTGAGTAGCAGGTGCAGAATAGCTGTTGAACTAGCTCTACGATTTTTGTTCTCGTAGGAAGTCAACTGAATCTATCATTTTACTGAGAACGCCTTTGAGCTGGTGGGGTAGCCCATTAATTCCTTATGTTTCTGTTTCCCAGGTCTTTAAACTGAGGGAGACACCCTCCCATCATGATTGAGTCAGCTGCTGTTGCCATAATCCTGACAACGGTTTTTTCCATACTACTCATAACCGATATCATGGGTAACTCCATCGTTTGTGCAATCATTAAGAGAAATCGAGATATGAGGTAAGTTGAGGCTGGAATGTCATAGTTGTTCAGGTTTTATGTCCCCATTTCTATGATTTATTTAACAATAAGATTATGTGATCGACATTTCTATTCGAAATCGAGAGCGAATAATCAAATTTTTTTGGTGTAAATCACGAGTCATTCAAAATTTTAACAGACACTTCGAAGACGCTTCACAGACACTTCGAAGACGCAAAGAAGCGGCCGCCATTATGTTAACAATCGCACACTGTTAGACTACTCACTATCTAAGACAGAATAAATAAGGGTAGCCTAGCCAATAAGAGAACGGCATTCGTGATAGAATTTTAACGCTAGTAGATTTATAATTTAAAAAGTGTGGACCAAGAAAGGTTTTGACAGTTCGTATGACACATTTGTCGGGAATTTCGCCCTAAACAAATTACTTGAGTTGACATTTTCCAACTCTTCGAACTCCTTTCTTTGCATGAAAATTGGAATAGCAAGATTTTGTAATTTCCAGCCAGCTGCCACAATCGATCTATTGTGTATTGTCTTTGCGGGAAAATATAAGCCATTCGACTTTTAAACTCTCGCTTGATTGTTCAAACTATTTTTTAGTAATTTTTCCTAGGTTAAAGTTTTTAATGCCGTCCAAAATGATAACAGTAGTTATACAGTTTATGTTCTTGGGCATAAATATGTTTTGGGCCCTTCTCAGAGTGTAAACAGAGTCTGGGTGGGGAACAAAGCATATTTATGCACCCGAACATAAACTCTATTGTTTTAATATCAATGTAAAAATTTTTGAATACCAAAGTTGCTTACATACCTAAAACCTTGTTCTTCCATATTTCTGCTGTTCTGTATGCAAATGCTTTTGAATTCCACAGAACTCCTATAAATTATCTACTTGTGAACCTGGCTGTAGCGGATATCCTGTTAGCGATGTTTATGGCCCCAAGTGTGTTTTTCGAGCTACCTTTCTCCAATCATCCAGACGGCTTGACTGGTAGAGTCTTGTGCAAGTTTCTGACACACGCCAACATCGCGTGGATTGGAGGAGTTTCGTCCATTGTCACTTTCCTTGCAATCGCCATTGAACGATATTATGCAGTAATGTATCCTCTCGGTAACAAAGGAAAACTTACGAAGAGTAAACTTAAGGTGTGAGAAATAACGAAATTTAAGGTTAATTTTATTACCGGTAATAAAAACAAACATTATGATGAAAAACCGAACCATAATGCCAGTTTTAAGGCATTTCCTGTTAATCAGCAGTCTGCGGATTGATCAGATCGGCTATTGACAGACCAATTGGGAGATTGCACCGTCTAAGGCCCGACTAAAAGACTAAAATTATCGCCTACAGTTCATATTCGTGGCCATTTATCCCAAATTAACAGTTTTTCATCATCTGTTGCTCTATCTTTCACTTCCACAAACAGTGCAAACCCTTGTGCAGGTCTCGATATATTTACCCCCAAAACAACAGTACATTTTAAAAAAAAAAAAAACATAAACATTAGGGAATCAAGCGCACTGATTGGTTGATTGACCTTTTTGATTCATTGCTTCTTCTAATTTCTTCTTATTCAGGTCCATAGCACGAATAATATAGCCTATTTCCGTCGCCATTTTTTAGTTGGTCGTGAACACCTGTAAACTTAATAGTGAAAAGGCTGTACCTCAACTTATATAGTACCTTGGATCAGGATCTCATGAAAAAGTAAATTAAACTGCTGCGCATGCACGTTCATCTACTCATAAATGGTAAACAAAGTTGTCGTATGCGTGCAATGAATGCCGGCAAATGGACTGAATATGTCCATCAGCCAATCAGAGCGCGTTTTACTTAAGCTGTGCTATAACAAATTTTAATGTACCATATGAATCATCAGGTAGACGTGTGAATCGTTCCGTTATGTCATAGTTTTTAAAACGTCTGACACTCGTTAACCCCATGCGTGAATCTGCTCCTTATTGTTTCAGATGATTATTGCTGCGTCTTGGGTCTTTTCTTTACTATTCAATATCCCGCTGTTCCTTGCCATGGACATAAGGAAGAAGAAGAACAGAACCTACTGCGTGGAAATCTTCCCAAAGAGATGGATGGCGATGGCTTATAGTTTGGCATGGTTATTTCTGATAGTGCTATCCTTATTTGGAATCTGTTGGCTTATGAGCACCGTGGTCTATAACGTCGAGTTCTTTACGACATCCCTCCACATTGGTCTCACCGCAAACGGTGTCATTTCTGACACAATGGTGTTGTTTAATTCTGCTGTCAATCCGTTTGTATACGCTCTGTTGAACCAGCAGTTCAAGGATAAGATGAAAAGAATTATATGCTGCGCTGGTGCCACGGTACCCGGGGTTCAAACCACGCGGAGTGCTCATGACATCAAGCTGACTAACCACACGACCCACCCGACCCACACAGCAGGACCGCGTTTGCAGGAGTGATATGTATGGGTTATTGACCAAGCTTGTTCGGTCATGATGACTGGATATTGGCCAAGTTCTTTTTTTGCGTGTTTATGGACCGAGACGGAGTCGAGGTCCATAAACTCGCGAAAAAAGAACGAGGCCAATATCCAGCCATCTTGAACGAACAAGCTTGGTCAATAAAGGATTTATTATATGGCTTTCGGGGAAATTTTTCTTGGGGACACGGCGGGTAGTCCCGAGCGGGCAATATTGCTCCATCTTGCCCGCTCCGGTAGCCAATCCCAGCACAGGATTTGATTCATCTTGCCCGCTTGCGGAGCTGGCCAGTAATAAGCTAAAGTCTCACGTCGATTAAAGGAGCCTACGTTACGTTTCGCGCATCTTGAAAATTTTCGCTCAAATTTTTCTAGTTAGTTGTTTGTAATCCGTGCTAATCTTCTCCATCCTTAACCATCCTTGTTCGTTTTAAGTTTATTATAATCTCTTTGATGTTTTTCTATCTTAGTAAAGTACTATTTTAGGTTTGCTTCCTTAATTTTGGCTAATGTATGTGCAGAAGGTAGCAGATACGGTGTATGATGCTCTCTGTTTGAACGGAATACGTGCTTGAAGAGAAACGCAAAATATGGCAGTTAACTCTATTCAGACAGATGTTGTTTTGGTCTTAGTGAAGTTTTAAGGGGCCTACACTCTGTAACCCCTAGAATACCTTATCTTTGAAAACAAGAAACTATGATCATATTCTCTTGATGAAAATGAAATTTTGAGGTTTGATAGCAGGCCCAAACGTTTTTCCTTTGAAGTCAAAGGACATGGATGCGACATATGAATTAATTCCTAGCAGCTGCCATCTTGGATTTTACGGTTTTTGCATAACGTCAGGAAGACTCTGCTCAAGGACAGTTAGAGGTGATGAAGACAGTTAAAGTTATCTAAACAAGTAAAATATAACAGTACAAAACGTCACCAAAATCAGAGAGTTTGGTCATCATTTAATAGTTTTATGGCTGCAACAAGGCTGTCCCGTTCATTTTCTAGGATTTTTACGGTGTTCGATGCCCTTGCATTAAATAAACGTTCATATTTGAGCTGCTCTTTTAATTTCTTGACCTCATTTTGAAGAGCAATATTTTCTTGAAGTAGGCGTTCTTGACTAGGTGACGAGCTGTTGTTTATTTGCATATTTACCTTTGGGTGAGCAAGATGCTGAAGTTCATTAAGTTGTTGCTCGACCTTCTCAAGATTGCTCTTAACCATAGAACAACCCTCGAATGCATGTGGAAGGGCTTGGCAAAGTCTGGGTTACAGACTGCAGGTTTTGCGAAGAGTTGAAGGAGCAATCCACCGCAGTTAACTCGCTTGAGGCCGCGAGCGGACATTGCTGAGTGTCACAGTTCGGTTGAAGAGCAAGCAGGTTTTCCTTCGATGCAAAGAGGCTGCCTAGCTTTTCTCGCAAGATAACGTAACCAGACCATTGGGTTTGGACGGTATGACTTGAAGAATACCACTTCACTATGATGTCATCCACCTTGAATGAAGACATTTTATGGGCTGGATCTTCTGAGATTTCGCCCTCTTCCGTAAACTCGAGTAATGTCTTGACCAGACAAATCAAATCTTTAAAATCCCCATACCGCTTGAATTGATCCTTCGTGTCGAAGTAGTTGAGTCGACTAGCCAAAGATGCAATTGGTGATGAATTCTCGTTTGCAAGAGACATTTTTAACGAATTGAAAATCGACTAATTTACAAAATAGCGGAGCGCGATAAAATACGTGTGAACTTTCTGAGAGTAGACAAGGGAAAAGCACCTGATCTCCAAAGATTACAGAAGAAATAAGTTATAACCGTCACTAGAGCACATCCTCCGATATCCATTTTCTGTAATCTTAATTGTTCTAAATCTAACGAGTATTGCATGTTACATGAGAATTTTATCTATTTTGAACTATTGACTTAATTTAACAAAATTATATCTTTTATAAGAATGATTTTTATCCTTTAATTGTAGCTTCTTAATTATCCTTAACATTTGTGTCTTGTTATTTAGTACACGAACCCACAAGCTTGTTAGCTTTGAAATTTATTTTTATCGTGTATAAATAAAGGCTGTATGTATGTATGTACGTAAACACGCCGCGAAATAATCCGGTTTGGTGTGTGAATACATAATTGCCATTGCTTTAAAAGACGTTAGTGCATGTTTGTTCAGGCAACGGTTGACGTAATTGGCAACTCCGCGTTATTTTATTTTTTTATTTGGATTCCGACGGTAGACTAATTTTTTCAGTTGTTGGATTCGTGTGGATAGGAAATGTCTCAATCGTCGAAAAGAGGCAATGAAATTTGTAGGTGAACAACAAAGTTAGCCTTTGAGGTAAGCTGGACTTTGTTTAAGTTTTTGTGCGAATGTTAAGGGTGTCAACGGATTCAAACTGAAAGATTTAGGACGAACCCGAGGATATTACGTGAAGTTCCTTCTTGTGGCTATAAACAACACGGAATCGTTTTTATGAAGCTTGTGACTGCTTTTAAACACGGATAGCCGTTCTTTAGAAACTAGTCGGAGAAAAAGGTTGTTACATTACGTTTAGACGGTTTCAATTCCAGTTCAACCCCAATTAAACGGCCACCCTCGAGGAAATGGGTATAGTGGCCGCTTAAGCGGACTGGCCGTTTTATAGAGTTAAAAAGCAATAGGAAAGCCCTCATCGGGACTTTGATTACTGCCCGCCAAATAGAGATGGCCGTTCAATGATCAAGTTTTTAATGTGTAGAATCCCTTGACACCACTGTCATTGATGTCTGTGATTTTCTTAGAAGGGATAACCTTTTGTTTTCCTTTTCCTGATGAGTTATACCCTGTAGTGGTATAAGCAGATTCATCGATAATGTAACTCGCTAAATTAGCGAGGGATTTATCAATGAATCACGAGTGTACAGGTACACCCTATTAAGCGGGTTCGACTGTACCTGAATGATTTCATGCTCAGTTGGGATAAAAGAACATGTAACTGTTGCCATGATGAAGTCGATATTTTCCTGTGAATGATGCCTGCAATGTTGTTTTATTGTTGACAAGAGAAGTAATGGTCTTATGTATAATGAAGTGTTCAGTCCGACAAAATTAAGTATATTTTTTTAGATAGTTGACTGTCCGAAGCTCTAAAGTTAAGTAGATAGAGAGATATTGGATTGCTGTTTTTTCCTAATGCCGCTTTAAGTCGTGGCCAAACGGACTCGCAAGCAGACGCAAGCTCAAAACTTTCCTCTACTTGCGACTCCGTTTGGCCAGGCCTTGCGTGCACTTGCGTTGACTTATGATGACTTGCGTTCACTTTGGTCGAGGGTCAAATTTGCACGCAAACAGACGCAAGTTTTTCACCGTCAGGCCACCCAACCCAAGTCAACGCAAGCGGAGTGACGTCCATTCGTTGTTATAGCAACCATTAGCCAATGCAATACAGGGTATGTCTACCTTGAGGTGGGTTTTTTCGCGACTTGCTTTTACTTGCTTGCAAAGTGCGAGATGCGAGACTTTCACACCAACGAAATCACAGAATACGGCTGGATTCCATCGGTCACGGAACTACAAAATAATTTAGTTTGTAGTTTTCGCTCTGTCCTCCCTCCGTCTTCATTTTATACGTTACTGAAACACTAAAACAACAACGTAAAATGGCCACATTCTGCATATTCGAGAGAACGTGAACTATACGACGGCCAATTTTTAAGATTTCTTTTTCGAATTTTGACGCTGTCTTACATATTCTGTTTGGGATATTTCTGACAGTATAGACAAACTAAATGATTCTAAATTCTCGCGAGATTCGTAGGTTGAATATATTAAGTCGTTTTCTAATCATGTTGCCTTTGGCGTTGTTGCCGTTGCTGCTTAAACTGCTTTTGCTACTTGGGCGGCGAGCGTCTTCCTGCACTTTCGACCATCTGTTTGTTCGGTTGGCTAGCTTGTGTTTGGGCGTTTGTTTGCTTTGCACTCGTTTGTCTAAACATTTCTCTGCTGTTCATTCAGTTGTTACTGTTTGTGCAGGGGACATTCGTCTCTTATTTAAACTCCTATTAAAGTTTCGAAATGTATTAAAACATACCGAGAGCCGAAGCTCCTTTGCTTGTAATCAAGCAAAGGAAGACATCCCCACAGCGTTGGAGGTTTTCCTTTGCTTTGAAACGAAACAGAAACAGATCCTCCACGAAAACATCCACGCAACGCGCGAGTAATATCCGCGGAAAAACTGGTTACAATGTCTAAAAATAACTTAAGAGGGATTACCTTAGTTAAAGGACCTATGTGGGGGATTCACTCTCTTACCTTGACTCGGATCTCTTGGGGAAGGCGGGTTAACCCTACCTGGAGTTTTTACAAAGGAAAAAGTGATCCCGCCTGCCAGGGGTAACCCTAGCACGCAGATAGGGTAACCCGCAAACCCGAGTAACCCTAGCTGCCTTGTAAACACGACGAAGAATAAAAGAGGAAATGTGTGAGTGCTAGGGTGACCTTAATCCTTGTAAACAGGCCCCAAAACTCACGTTACTGACCTGCTAATGGCGTAGGTATCCAATTACAAAAAGTTGAAATTTAATGGGTGCCAATAGAACGCGGGATCGGGGCCCGGGACGCGTGTTTAAAATTTTTTCTTTCTTTCTTTAATTTTCTTTTTATGTTTTTTTTTTCCTTTTTTTTTAAATCCACATATCAAACATAGTGCCCACGAACGTGAACATTTGCTGTAATTGGCGTCCAGGCTAGCGCGGGCATTATTTGTCTGTAATGCG